CCACCATGCCCAGCTGATTTTTTGTATTTTTAGTAGAGACGGGGTTTCACCATGTTGACCAGGATGGTCTTGATCTCTTGACCTCGTGATCCACCCGCCTCGGCCTCCCAAAGTACTGGGATTACAGGCGTGAGCCACCGCACCCGGCTGCTATCTCAGCTCTTAAAAGTGTTTCTCTTCTTTCAAAAATCTCTATACTTCACACAAAATAGAGAAGGCAGGCCAGGCGTGTTGGCTCATGCCTGTAATCCCAGCATTTTGGGTGGCCAAGGGGGTTGGATCATTTGAGGCCAGGATTTCAAGACCAGCCTGGGCAACAGTGAGACTGTCGCTACAAAAATTTATTAAAAATTACCTGGGCGTGGTGGTGCATGCCTGTAGTCCTAACTACTTGGGAAGCGGAGGTGGGAGGATCACTTGCACCTGGGAGATTTGAGGCTGCAGTGAGCTGTGATTGTGCCACTGCATTCCAGCCTGGGCACAGAGCAAGACCTTGTCTTTAAAAACGTAGCGAAGGACCTCTCTCGCCTAAAAAGGTAGCGAAGGGCCTCTCTCGGCTCTGTGTAGTTGCACTTGGCTTCACCCGTGTAACTTTCGTAATGGGGAGAGAGAGAAAAGATCTCCTCAGGACCTCAGATGGGCCTTACTGTGGCCTCTCTTTCCTTGAGGGGAGCAATAGGCCCTCAAAAAAAAAAAAAAAGTTGTGAAGGTAGCTGGGCGCCTGTAATCCCAACACTTTGGGAGTTCAAGGCAGGCGGATCACCTGAGGTCGGGAGTTTGAGACCAGCCTGACCAACATGGAGAAACCCCGTCTCTACTAAAATGCAAAAAATTAGGCAGGTGTGGTGGCACATGCCTGTAATTCCAGCTACTTGGGAGGGTGAGGCAGGAGAATCGCTTGAATCTGGGAGGCAGAGGTAGCAGTGAAGGTAGAAAAAAAAGAGAAGGCATACATGAATACTCTGCCTTGAAAAAAGCTAGAAATTTAGGCCGGGTGCAGTGGCTCATGCTTGTAATTCCAGCACTTTGGGAGGTCGAAGCGGGCGGATCACAGGAGTTTGACACCAGCCAGGCCAACGTGGTAAAACCCTATCTCTACTAAAGGTACAAAAAAATTAGCCGGGCATGGTGGCAGGTGCCTGTAATCCCAGCTACTCAGGGGGCTGAGGCAGGAGAATCAGCTGAACCCGGGAGATGAAGGTTGCAGTGAGCCGAGATCACACCACTGCACTCCAGCCTGGGCAACAGAGCAAGACTCTGCCTCAAAAAAAAA